GGGCTGTTCTTGCTGTTGTCAGGTCAAATGCCTGAGAATAAAAGGTTCCCTGGAGCTATGTTCAGGCTCTTCCTGGCTCACCTGTGTGCACGTCTGTTGACATGAGGCATGAAGGTGGTTGAGGGCGGGCGGGAAGGGAACAAATGGTAGTTTAGTCTTTAGTCCTATCTCAAGGTGCACAAACAGAACTCACGGCAGGCACCTAAAACAGGTTTACCGTGGGTAGGGCTGGCCATCTTTGCCAAGTGTACGGGGAAGAGAATGAGGCCGGTGCCCGCTGAAATGCCTGTACCCAGACAACTGGCTTACCAAGGCCCCCGCTTCCCACTGCAGGGCCCTGAGGGAGGTGACCTTGGAAATCAGTGTGCCAGGGCCAAGTTGGGCAAAAGGTGAGGCCTGTGCCAATGCAATTCAAGAGGCTTTTAGAAAACCCTTTCTGCAGACTGGATTTTCCAATGGCATTTTGGCTGTCAGGGCCACTATGGGCCCAACAAGGGGAGACAAAAAAAGAAAAGAAAAGAAAAGACCCTTGCAAAGGATTCTCCTTGGGGCTGTGCACAGATACCAGAAGGTTCTGGGTGCGCTGTAAGATGCTGGCTGTGGGTGCAACGTAACAGTGGCCGCTCTGAACCAGAGAATAGACGTCAGAGCCCCTCTACTAGCAGTGGTCCACCTCCTTCACCTTGGCTCTGTCAGTCAAGCCAGCCTTTGTCAGCAGGGCGCTCTCCTGGGGACAAGAGAACACACTGCTCCCTTTCATAAGGCCCCAGTCAGGAAAGAATCGCAGCCCCGAGTGGGGCCCCAGGCCCCCAGGCGACCTTCTCCCCATTACGATGTGGGCTGAATAGGGCCCCGGGCCAGCAATCCCGCTGCCCACGCAGCAACTTAAGTTGAGCCTCAGCTATTTTTATAAGCACTTTTCATTGTTAGTGCAGATAGGAAAAAATGTTCCCATTATGATTACTTGTATATAGAAACGTTACTGATTTTTATAAATTGATTTTCAACCAGCACTGTTATGTACTAGCTTATTATTAGTTCTAATGGCTTTTCAAGGTTATTCTCTTGCGTTTCCCAGGTAGATAATCATATCGCCGGCAAGTGATGGTTCTTTTGTCTTTCTTCCCCACAATATTCGCCTCATTTCTTTTTTATTACTTATCTCGCTGGTTAATACAGCGACATGGACTGAGGTTTTGAGAAAGCCTTCCCACGCATTTGAGGACCTGCGCTAGCGTGGCTCTGTCTTCACTATGTGGCAGGGGAGCCCGGTTATTGTCAACCGCGTGATGGACCAGGAATGGACCCCGATATTTCATGTCGGAGCCTAGACAGGGCGGCGTCCGGTCCGCAGACCCCTGACCCACCTTCCTTCACCCTCTCACTCCTTGGGAGCCTGCCTGTCGCCCTACTAGTCATCAGGAGGTAGGGGGCTGGTGGGAAGTGCTCTCTTGGTAGCTGGCCTCAGTATGCGATCAAACCGTGTCTGATTACATAAGCAGAGCCAACGAACTGAGAGCAAATTCATGACAAAACGTGCCAAGGCTTCTGGGAGTCACAACACTGGGGCTCACTCCTGGATGAAGTCGGAGAGCCGGCCCACAGGGAGAGGCAGCGTGCTGGGAAGGCTGACGTCTGGGAGGAGAGGCCGGCGGTCTCGCCCAGCCCACCAGCGGGGACCCCGCGCTGCACAGACCCCACGCCGACCCAGGCCCGCCTTCCTCTGGATTTTCCTTGCCCTCCCGGACACAAGGAGCAAATGGGCCTCCTTTCTTTCTCTCCCCACAGCCATCTCTTCTTGCAAAAGGAAAGAACAGAACAGGAAGTGCCTCCGCCAGAGTGCTCCCTGGGTGGACGAGAGGAAAGAGCGAGTGCGTCTTCAGCCCTCCGCCCGCCCCCGCGGTTTCCGGGCGGGGCCCAGGGCCCAGGGCCCAGGCCCCGCTGCTGCTGGCCTTACGTTGCAGAGGGAGTGCGTCCGGTGGCGAGGGGAGTTGATGTCGCTTGGCGTGGATGACCGGTCGCCTTCGGCGGCAGATGCGTCGGAGATGACGGAAGGCTGCCGGGAGTGGCAGGGGCTCACCCTGACCGCTGGAAAGCAGGGACAGCTGGTGAGTGAGGGATGGAGAGAATGGCCTCACCTTGACTGCCTTGCAGGCGATGGCACCAGCGCCCCGTTACACCCAGGAGAACAATGAGCTGTCGGGAAGCCCCCTGCCCAGCTCCCCACCCCTCTATTCTGCAGCCATCAGAGAGCAGTTTCCAGGAAGGACCTCCCATCATCGCCTCTGGATCCACGCAGGCCCCCTCTTAACCCGGGGGAGGGAGAGGAAGAGGCGGAGCTCCCAGGGACCTCAGCTATATGGACCTGGGGCCCCACACTCCCCTAAGCAGCTACAGTGGGAACGGAGAGACTGCCTTCCCCACCGGGTCAGAGGCCCCCCAAGCAGCCCCACCGCTGTGGCTGGGCCGGCCGCCAGGACCCACCTTGCCGGTCTGCAGGGTGCGGGGGGTGCGAGTGGTAGAGCGTCTGCTGGCTCTGCCGGATGGCTGCGGTCAGCGGCAGGTCCGCCTGCACCACCCACTCCTGGTTGCCGTTGAGCACGGTCTCGCCTGGCATGGCGAGGGAGTGCCGCTTGGGGACGTCCTTGGTCAGCGTAGCTAGGGACTGCTTGGCCTGGGGAAAGAGCCAGGGAACAAGAGGACGACGTGACCCCTTGGCCGGCTGCTCAGCCACCGCCCACCATCATGAGAAAACCACGAACTGGCCCCTGGACCTGGGCATCGCCGGCTGCGTGAGTGCCAGTCAGTCAGCCAAGCACCCGCACGGCAGGCCTCCCCTGGGTTACACCTTAGATCCTGGCGCCCAAGTGAGGCCAGCAATACGGAGAGAAAGAGGCCCCTGCCCTCCACACAAACACACACACACACACACACACACACACACACACACACGCACACGCACATGCACGCACACACTGTCACCCATTCTTTTGGGTCCTCTGAGGGCTGGCTGGGTGGGACTTGAAGGACATTGTAAGGCTGGGGTGGCCACTCCCCCCGGCTCTCAGGGCCACGGGGCAAGGTGCAGGGGACCCGGGAAGCCCAGGGACAGTGTGGGCTGCGTCAGGGCGGTGGGTAGTCGGACAGCTCGTCCTTTCCTCAGGCGGTGACAGGTCTCTGTCAGCGATTGGTTACCTCCCCCCAGGATATGTGGGGTTTTGTTAGAAACAATAGCAGATTATTTGGGGGAGAAAAAAGGCACATATTAGCGATGTATTCATGCATGTTCACCACAGTCTATTTCCACTTCCCGGCTGGCTCCCACGGCTCACGCAGGGCAGAGGGGACACGCGGAGGGGCTCAAGGGGCTTGCGCTGAGCTCGCCAGTGAGTCCGATGCCCAGGGGGTCGTTACAGATGGCAGAGCCACCGTGAGTGCTGGCTTCACCCCTGACATGAACGCAGATGAAATGAAAGACTTCACCTCCCCTCTCCTGCTCCAGAACTTCCCGTACCTTCCCTAAGGCCTCAGGCTCCTTCTGGCAGAGCGGAGATTCCAGCCCACAAACAGACAGTCCTTGGCCTAAAGCCTGATAGAGCCTCATCATGCGAACCAGCTGTTATTTTAGATACGTCACCGCCCTCTCTGAGCCTCCGTTTCCACATCTGTATAATGGAAAGCCTGGACCAAGCGATCTTTAGGGTTCTCTCCAGCTCAGACACCCCAGGAGTCCGTGAAATCACTTCCCTTCAACCACCAGCCCCTGGGGAATATAAACCTAAATGGCAGAGGGAGGTCAAGTTGAGGGTGTCAGCCCCACCCCCGAGCCAGGTAACCATCTCCTCCCTCACTTAGGAAACCTTCGTGTGCTCAGTGCGACAGCCTGGGTCTCAAGTAGGGAGTGTGCCGTTATCTGTACTTGACGGAGGAGAAACCAGAAGCTCAGAGAGGTTCAGTGACTTCTCCAAGATGCACAGCAGGCACGGCATCCAAGCTGGGCTCCAAGCCTGGGTGTCTGACTGCGAGCCCCTTGTGGGTTCCCGGGTGCCCACCCTCCGCTGGGACAGGAAAACCAGTAAGTGACGCAGACCAGGACCAGGAGCAATCCCTCTGCGGCAGGAGCGAGCGAGGCCGGCGTGGCTCTGAGCTGCCGTGTGCTTGCAGTAGCCCCGCTTCACGCAGACTCCCATCTCCCAGACCCCCGCACCTCACTCGGCACCGCACCTGCTTTCCCCGCCGCGTGCATGTGCGTCCAGATTCTCCGTCCTGGCAGCTGCTCCTGGGGGGATGCCCGCTCCCTTCCTCCCGCCCAATCCCTTTTGGCTGCCCTGAAGGCGGACTCAGGGGGAGCAATGAGCACCCGGGCGGGTCTGCCATCTGTGCAGTTAACCCCCCGCTCGCCCTCTCGCAGCATTCCCAGCCCCACACCTGGGACTGCGGGAGCAGAGGCGCTCTGGCTCGCAACCCTGAAAGACCCTGGAATTCCCCAGGATGCTTGAGGCCAGTGTGCCCAGGCAAGGAAGACATGTCTGTCTGTCCCCAGGGCACTGGGCAGACCTGGGAGAACAGGCGGGCAGCAGAGGCACCAGCACCACTGACCCCACCTCCACCCCAAAGGGGACTGACAGCAGCAGCTTCCTCCGGGCCTGGGCAGTTCTCACCACTAGGGGTCAGCATCGGACAAGGAGACCCAGGAGGTAGGTGGCAGGTAGGTAAGGGCTGAGCTGGTCCCAAGAGGGACCCATGGATCCTGACCAGGGCGGTCCGGAAGAAGTGACGTAGAAAACCTTCGTCTCATATCATCCATCACCATGTTTAGGCACCAGACTAAGCACTTCCCTGGCTTCATTTCATTGACATCCTCCCAAGAGCCCCAGGAGACACAGGCAATTACCCTATTTAGACCGGATGAAACCAAGGCTCAGAGAGCTGACGGGTCCTGCATAAGGTCACACAGCTAGGAAGTGACTGGCTGGATTCGAACCTGGAACCCACGGCTGTAATCACACTGTCGGCACGCATCCGTGCTCTGCAGGCGAACGTGGAGCCAGGCAGCCCTCCCCAGCCCTCAGGGCTCCCAAGTGTTTCCCTGCCACTTGGTGGGGCAGACAGGGTGGGATGAAGACCTTCAGACCCACCCAGTTCCAGATAAAGGGCACTGAAGCCCAGAGAAGTGCAGTGAGCGGCCCAAGGCCACACAGGAGCAGGCGGAGCAAACTCCAGGGCTCTGGACCTCGGTTTTTCAGCCAGGCCCAGACACACCATGGCTCTCTGCTCCCACGTGCGGGCTGTGGGTCACCGCAGTAAACAGTTTTTGGGGGGTATTTTGAAGGTTTGTTTTGGATTAGAAAAAAGTAACACTTTTCCCCTTGACAACCCAAATAAGACATTCTCACTGTAGATGAAAATAACAGGTGTGTGCGTGCATACACACACACACACACACACACACACACACATATATATACACACACACACACACACACACACAGGAAAATAAAACTCCCTGGTAATCCTAGTACCCAGAGGTAACCGTTGTTAATTTTTTTGTGTGTATTTCCTCCCAAATGTTTTCCTAAACAAATCTATTTTTTTTTAAATGGGCTTTTATTTTTGCAGTAGTCGGGGGAGTGCGGATCCGTGGAGGGTCTCCCAGCACCCCAGGCCCCAGGCCCAGGCAGGTGGGGGAGAGACTGCCCCAGGTTCAGGGGTTGATGTGGGAAGAAGATGCCAATCATCACAGCCCCCGCCCCCAGCCCCGCCCCCTCCTGGGTCCTGCTCTGCCGGACTCCACTCCTCCACTCCAGGATTCTCTGCGCCCTGTCTCCCACCACAAGTCCCACTGCCCTGGGTGTGTGAAGGCAGGGCAGGGCGGGGAGGGGCTCACCATGGCCAGCTCAGCCTCCAGCTCCTTCATCCGGTTGTCCTTGAGGTCCAGCTGGGAGCGCAGCGCCGTGGCGTGGTCCGTGGCCTCCTTGGCTTGGCGCCGGAGCTCCCACTTCTCCCGCTCCAGCAGGTCCTTCTCCTTGGCCAGAGCTTTGACAGCATCCTCGCTCTCCTGCGGGGGGTGGGGGGGGGTGTCACATGGGGAGTGCAGGGCCTCCTCATGGCCCAGACATACCCTGAGGGGCCCTGACCCCCGACCACAGAAGGCTCTGCGGTGGGAAAGCCCTGGGTTCGAGTGCCAGCCATGCCACAAACTACGGGGAGATGGGAACAGGCACAAACCCTTGGCAGAGGCTCAGGAAACATTTTTCAATGACTCACTGAGCAAATGTTTGTCTCGGGGAAGTTGTTTGACTTCATCCAGTCTCGCTTTCTCTGTATTTAAAATGGGGGGGGGGCAGCCGGCATGGCTCAGTGGTTGAGTGTCGACCTAAGAACCAGGAGGCCACGGTTCGATTCCCGGTCAGGGCACCTGCCCAGGTTGCAGGCTCGATCCCCAGTGTGGGGCGTGCAGGAGGCAGCTAATGGATGATTCTCTCTCATCGCTGAGGTTTCTATCTCTCCTTCTCCCTTCCTCTCTGGAATCAATAATAAAATATTTCTGAAAAATGGGGGGAAGGGGCCAATACTATTTGTTTCAAAGAACTGTTATAAAGATTGAGTACATGTGAGGGAAACATTTAAACAGAGTCCGACAAACGTTAGGGTCAGTCGTGGGTCTGAGGCCGTGTTTTGTTGTTTGGTAACATGTACGTGACAAAGGAGATGCCTGCAGCCCAGTCCCCGTGGCTGCCAGGGGCCCTGCCACCCCCCCCACAGGGTCACAGCCCCCGATGACACAGGCTGGACCCCTCGGCACAGTTTCCGGCCAGGCACCTGGCCCTGCTCCGGGCTGGGCCCCTCGCAGGAGCTCCGCTGTGTCCGGAGCCAAGTTAGTAGGCAAGGAACAAGCAGCCGAATTGGGGCCCAACCTCTGATGCCAAGAGCCCAGGTTCAGGACAGCAAGTGTCCTCCCCCAGAGGACGGTCCCCACAGGGGGCCCTGCCCAGCCGCACGGCCACGGCCTTCCCGTTCTCCATGTCAGGAGCTAACCCCCAGGTCTCTCCGTGCCCCGGGACCACGGAGAGGCGGCCATCCTGTCTCGTCTAACAACCCTGTCACCCACAACTGGTGAACCAAGTTCCTCGGCTAGCCGATCATAAACTCCTACTCATCCCACAGAGCCCATCCCACAGAGCCCAGCTCACAGCCACTTCCTCTGTGACGCCTTCCAAGACGGTCTCCCCACCTGCAGAAGTCCCTGCTGTCCCACTGGTGCTCCCGGCTCTCTGTTCACACACTCGTTATGGTGTCACGAGTCAGACGCAGAGCTAACACTCACTGGGCGCTTCCTGTGCGCCCGGGCGCCACGCGGCGTGCTCTGCGCTCACCAACGCAGACGGTCCTCACACAGCTCCACAGTCTGCACCCTGTTCCTGAGATGCCCAGGGACACACACACGGGGAGCCAGGATCTGAACCTAGGCCAGCCTGTCTCCGGAGCCCCCACTGTCACCACCTCTGCCATCCTGTCGATGTGTGTTTGCCGCGATGCCACGGAGCCCTCAGCTAAGAGCTGTGCCTGTTTCAGCTCAGGGCCCGGGCCGGGCGAGACACGCCGGAGGCCTCCCCAGTGGGCACAGGTGACACGAGCAGAGTCTCTCCCAAGGGGGGTGGGAGAGGCCACCCCCGGGCCGGGCGTGGGGAGAGCCGGTGTCCGGGGAGTGGAGGGCCCTGACCTTGCGGTGCTGCTCGTAGTTCCGGATGAAGTCCCGCAGCTGCTCCTCGCGGCTCTCCAGCGTGGCGTACAGCTGCTGCATCTGGCTCACCAGGTCCGTCTTCTCGCCCTTCAGGCGCTTCCGGTCGGCTTTCATGGCTGGGGGACAGAAGAGCGCGTTAGTCCTGGGATCCTGGTTGTCTGCCGGCCCCGAACGCTGAGGAGGGACCCTATTTCGACACCCCCCACCCCCGGTTTTTATATATATATTTTTTTGATTTCAGAGAGCAAGAGAGAGGGAGAGGGAGAAACATCAATGATGGGAGAGAATCATTGATCAGCTGCCCCCTACTGAGGATCAAGCCCGCCACCTGGGCATGTGACCTTGACCAGAATTGAACCCGGGACCCTTCAGTCCACAGGCCGAGGCACTATCCACTGAGCAAAACCAGCTAGGCCTTAGCTGCTGGGGCATCAATCCCCTTTTTAACAGATGAGGAAACAGGGTCCAGAGACATGAAGCTTCTCCCCCAAGCTCCCAGGTCACTCCGTGGCACTCTCAGGACTCGAACCCAGGCCTGTCTGTTGCTAGAGTCCCTACTGTCACCTCTTGGTTTTATTGATCCGAGGGGGCATGTCTTTGATGACACATCTATCCCTGCTCTGAACTGGCTGGTCCCCAATGTGAAGGAGCGGAGGCCTGGGGAGCCTGGGACCGGTGGGGTGTGAGAACCAGAGGGAAGCGCCAGGAGTGGCTCCGAAGGAGGCCACTGACCCACGCGAAGTGACCGCCGTGGCTTCCCGGGAGCTGTGGGCGGGCTCTCTGTGCCAGTGGAGAGAAGCGGCTGCCAAGCAGGTCTCATGGGATCCCGTGGGGGTCACCCCTCTGACCCTGGTTGGAAACGACGCCCCCTGGGCTCTGATGTACCTCCCTCAGCCTCACCTGGGGTGGAACCAGACTTACTCTCGGGACTGGAGCTTCGGGAGGGGATCTCCCCCTCACACCCCGCTGGGCTTCCTTCCCTTTTGCCAAGTGGCTGTGGGGGGCGTGACGCTGCGGCCTCCATGGACCACCCACTGTGCCAACCCCGCGCACGGTGCACATGCTGCAGGAGCTGCGTGCTGCTGGCTGTTCTGCCATCGAAGAGGGCTGACACGGGCACATGTCTGCGCTGGTGGCCTCTGTAGGGGGTGGCGGCTATGACTGGGGGTTCCCTGAGTGCAAGGACCAGGCCTCTGCCTTCAGATTAGTAGCTCTCCCCTCAGACGAGAGCGGAAGCCGCTCCCCTCCCCCACTATTTGTTAAGCACCTTCTGTGTGCCAGGCTCCATGCCTGGAGGGGACAGGGCTGAGCAAGACAGGGTCCCCATCTTTTGGGTGGTGGCAGATCTGATCGAGGCGACAAGCCCCTATGTGCATGGGTGACCCGAGTCTCTGTCTACCCTCCTTCTTCCCAAGAGAACCCCGTGTTTGCCTGTGCCCAGTTACGACACAGCTCCCCAAGCTCCCTTGCAGCTGGAGGGACACATGTCCCAGTTCTGGCAACTGAGATGCACACACACATCTACTGGGCGATCCGCTGCGCTCTTTACAGAAAAGGTCACAGCGTCTCCCTCCCATTGCCTTCCTGCTGGGAGCACGGATGTGCGTTTGAGCACCAAGATGGAGACACAGGCTGAAACCGGGGGGCAGACAGACAGACAGACAGGAGGAGCCTGGACCGCTGGTGCATTACCCAGGCCAGAACTCATTAGAGCAGGAGAAGAAGAAACGCCCCGTCTATGGGATTTCCCGCTACATGCAGCCCAGCGCACTCCTGCCACAGGCAGGCGTGGGAAGTGCCATCACTCCTCCCACAACGGGCTCCGCTGAGGTTCCGTCTCACAGGCTTTCTGCTCTGGGCTCTGCCCGCCGCTGGGCTGCAGCCTGCCAGGCTGAGGACGAGAAACACGAGCGCTGGGTCTCTGGGCGCGAGCGCCAAGGGAAGACCACCTGCCAACGCCGATAAGGCGCCTCTGGAACCACGGTGGCAACACAGAAGGTGCGCACGGTGCCCCCGCCTGCCTGTCAGAAGCCACGTGTCCACCACCTGGTGGAGAAACTGCACGCAGAGAAGCAGGGCCTGGGAGCACGGGACCCTGCACTGGGGAGGGGGTAGGAAAGGGGTGGGGAAAGGGTGTGGTCCCCACGGAGCCGGAATGACGTTACTGTCGCCTCCATCACATGGGTGTCACTACAGAGGGCGCTACTATTGTAACTACTTAAGAAACAAGGTTTGGCAGGGAACCCCCCAAGAAATGACTTCAGCGACATGCGTACAGCCATGAGCACCACACAGCGGCCTGCACACAGCCATGAGCACCACACAGCGAAATGCTCACAGCCATGAGCACCAGAGAGAGAAATGCTCACAGCCATGAGCACCACAGTGACATGCACACGGCCATGAGCACCACAGTGACATGCACACGGCCATGAGCACCACACAGCGACATGCACACAGCCATGAGCACCACACAGCAACATGCACACGGCCATGAGTACCACACAGCGACATGCACACGGCCATGAGCACCACAGTGACATGCACATAGGCATGAGCACCACAGTGACATGCACAGCCATGAGCACCACACCGACATGCACACGGCGATGAGCACCACACCGACATGCACACGGCGATGAGCACCACACCGACATGCACACGGCGATGAGCACCACACCGACATGCACACGGCGATGAGCACCACACCGACATGCACACGGCGATGAGCACCACACCGACATGCACACGGCGATGAGCACCACACCGACATGCACACGGCGATGAGCACCACACCGACATGCACACGGCGATGAGCACCACACCGACATGCACACGGCGATGAGCACCACACCGACATGCACACGGCGATGAGCACCACACCGACATGCACACGGCGATGAGCACCACACCGACATGCACACGGCGATGAGCACCACACCGACATGCACACGGCGATGAGCACCACACCGACATGCACACGGCGATGAGCACCACACCGACATGCACACGGCGATGAGCACCACACCGACATGCACACGGCGATGAGCACCACACCGACATGCACACGGCGATGAGCACCACACCGACATGCACACGGCGATGAGCACCACACCGACATGCACACGGCGATGAGCACCACACCGACATGCACACGGCGATGAGCACCACACCGACATGCACACGGCGATGAGCACCACACCGACATGCACACGGCGATGAGCACCACACCGACATGCACACGGCGATGAGCACCACACCGACATGCACACGGCGATGAGCACCACACCGACATGCACACGGCGATGAGCACCACACCGACATGCACACGGCGATGAGCACCACACCGACATGCACACGGCGATGAGCACCACACCGACATGCACACGGCGATGAGCACCACACCGACATGCACACGGCGATGAGCACCACACCGACATGCACACGGCGATGAGCACCACACAGCGACATGCACACGGCCATGAGCACTACATGCCTCCTTCCTTCCTTCATCACAGGGATGCTTTTATTTTCCTTTCAAACCGTTTTTGATGTTCTCCAAACATCCCTCACACTTGCTGAGGTCTGCGAGGCATGACCGGCCTCCGCTCGCCTTCCCTTTGGCAGGGAACCCCCCCAGCTTCGCCCAGGCGTGCCCCATTCCAGCAGCCAGGCTGGTGGAACCACTGCCATGGTGACGGGTGATGTCATGCCTGGCGGGCCCTGCGGGGTCACGGAAGGAGGCTGGCCTGGCTCCTGGGCGTGTGGGGACTCTGAGGTGGGAGGGAGGGCGTGTGCGGAGGGCCTATTCTTCTAACTGGGAGGAGGCCGATGCACGCACGAGATGAGGGGTGTGATCAGGGCCCAGCTGCAGCCCCACGTCGATGGTACTTGTTGGGGATGTCACTTTTCTCAGGCTCTGAGGGGGCCTTGCCGCAGCAGAGTTGCCCAGATGTGGGGCAGCGTGGAGCGGCACCAACGCACATACCTTCTGCAAACGCCCCTCTTGGGAGGTCTCTGCCCTGACCCTCTCCCCACGGGCAAAGCAGACCCTCCCTCCAAGGCCCAGGCAAGGAGGCCACAGCTGATATGCGAGGAGAACAGAACAGGTAAACTCTGAGCTTTGGAGGCCTGGAAAGAGGGGTTTTGCAGGTGCTTTTAGAGCACGAGGGGTTTCTCCCCCCCCCCCCCCCCCCCCCGCGCAGTGCCTGCAGCAAGAACCTCGCTGGGGAGAGGAGACCAGGTTCTCACCTTCCCCTCTCTCAGCCCCAGTTTCCCCTCAGCATGAATGTGCTGGACTCGGAGAACTTCCTTTGGCTTCTGAGGTCCTAGGACACTCCACTCTGATGACCACGCCCCCAACATGTCGATGGGCGGGGGGATGAGCATCGGACTGGGGTCGGGGTGCTGGTTCTGTCCGCTTCTGAGTCCCTGAGCTATCACTTACTCCCAGGCCTCAGCTTCCTAGCCATTAAGGCGATCCCCACGTGCCTGACACTTTTCAAGTCTCTTACGGATTTTTGTTGCCGAATTCTCACAACCACCTTATTAATTCATTCCATGTGATAGACAAGGAAGTGGCATCCATGGAGATTAAGGAACTCGGCCAAGTGGTGAGTGGCAGCGCCCACCTGGCCCCAGGACCCACCCAGCCTGCTACCCTGCTGCCTCCAATACCTGCTGCCAACCCCCAACCACCTCCACACAGCCCGGTCAGCCTCACCTGCTCCTCGTGCACACCCTACGGCTGCTCGGTGGCTGCTGGAAGGAGGGAGGGGTGTGTGTGTGTGTGTGTGTGTGTGTGTTTAGTCACCCCCTCTTGCTTACAGGATCCTCAGCCAGCCCCAGACACAGCCTCATTCCACACGGTCAGATCTCCATTAGTCTGGCCTCAGAAGACCGCAGGTTGGTCCAGGATGGTCCAAAGCTAAGAGCCTTTGTAAACATTACCAGCTGGTGGATCCCAGACAAACCTAGACTCAGAGTTGGGGAGGGGTAGGCCTTGGTCTGAGGATGCCGATCCTAGCATCTGCCAGCAGGGGGCTCCCCTTTCTCTTCCAGTCAACATTCCTGTCCAGTTAAGCCTTCAGCATCTACAGATTCTGGGAGCCAGAAA